AGGTCTGCGTGTCGGGAATTCGGTGCCATCAAAACCCGTTCGAAGCGCACCGAGACTGTTGTGAAATTCTGAACCAAACTTTTCACTGCTTTTCGGAAGCCTCCCGCATTCCCTTCCTGGAGGGCCGGAGTGAACTCTTGCGCCGGTGCGGAGTGCAAAGGCGAATTGAGTTTTCTCCAAGGCCCATTGGCTCTGAACAAACACTAGGGCAAAGCAAGATCATTTTTTTGCTGGTGGGTGAGCCCAAGGCTCGCAACCTGCCTTTTAGAACGCGCGGCGCGGCCTCGCCGGGCCCTGCATGAAAAGTAACAATATTTGGGCAGAGGAAGGGGCAGCCTCATCCCTCAGCCAGCGGAGGAATGTGGGGACCGACTCACAACTGCCCCTCTTTCATCCGACTCCAGAGGGCTTGGGTTCGCTCTGAGCGTGCATTTTGCTCATTGCAGCCTCGGTTTTAATGAGAGTCTTTAACTCCCCCGAGACTGTGTGCAGGTTACAGCCTTATCTGGAGACCCTCGCTTTTTCCACCCTGCCTACACACCCCGTGAACAATCGCTTCTCCGACGCTTTTCAGGAGAGCGAGAGCCCCACTTCTGCTGAATGCCCGGCTCAGTTCATCGCAGGCAGGCGGGCTTTTGATGGCTACAATAACAAGTTACGCCCAAAGAGTGTCTCTTTGGTCAGATCGACAACGCCTGGCTTCACGTTTGCAAGTTAAACGGGCAGAAACCCGGCTGAAACTCCCACGCCAGACGCCAGGGACACTTCCCTCCGCCTTGCCCAAAGCAGAATTGGGGAATGGGTCTGGGCAGGGGGAGAAAAGAAGGGAGGGGTACGGGGTGCTGGAAAAGAGTCCCGATTCTCAGCGGTCCTCTAGAAGAAGAAGGGGGGGCACCATTTTCTCTGGTATTTCTCTCATTTATTTTTTTCCACGTTGCTTTGTTGGCAGCTTTACCCAAATAATAAAAAAAAAATGAGAGCGTTTTCTCCTTCTTCACCTAGGTAGCTGCTTTCCTCCAGTCCCTGAAAATGTGACTCCTTCATAAAATCAAAATTTGTGATTATTCAAATGTTGGGGACTGTGAAAAGAGAGGAAGAAAGAGAGAAAATTAATATTGCAGCTGTTCTTCTGATTAATGAGAGATAATTGCTCATGAAAAGTCACCCCTGTGGCATTTTGTTGTCTCCTGGATCTTTGTTCTTTTCCACTATTATTGAGGACTTTCTTGAAGACTAAGCGGTTCTTTTCAATTTTTGGGTATTCAGAAAGGGTTGCCTGGTTACAGAGAATGGGGAAATCTCGGGCTATATCGGGTAAGATGTGCCACAGACAGCAATATCACAATGCCACTCGGAGAAAAGGATGGATACAAGTTAACGATGCGCTTTCAATAAAACATTCATAGACTTGTTCACGCTTTGATAATGACCTCATTAAAGGGAGCTGGGGGCAAGTAAGTCCTGTCTCCTGTTTGTGTTCGCCTAACAAAACCCAGCTTTGAGATCATTCATCGCTTTGGAAACTAATATGAAATCAATGTAAGAGAAGCAAATAAATCCGAGGCGGCCCCGCCAACTCCCGGGTTGTCCCGCCCTGCTCGCGGCCTCCGTTTGGGGCAGGAGAACCATGTGGGCAAACGCTGAAACGGAGAGAAAAGGGGACTAGGGATGCGGGGGGAGCGGTGGGGGCTTTTGGGGGAGGACACTCAGAGGGAGGGGCAGAGTGGGAGTTACGGCCGGAAAAACCGCAGAGTACATCAATGGGTCAGAACTCTAGAGCCTGTTGAATAAGCGACGCTAAGTCCCCGCCCTCAACTTTCTCGGACTTTGCCCAAGAAAGGAAAAAAGAAGAAGGAAAGAGAAGGGGATGAGGGGTTCACATCAGGTGTGATCCCGGATTGGGGTAAAGTATTGGAAGCTTTTTTGAAAGCAACAACCAATAATTCAAATCTCAAGTTGGAGCGTCCAGGAGCAGAAGGCGGCACCTCTGAACTGCTTTGATTTTTTTCTCAGTTGAGGGTAAGGGTGGGGGGTCCAGACTAGGCAGGGGTTGGGGGATGGAGGGAGACAATTTTGCTACCTTCGCATTTGTGACATCGTCTTGCACTCAAGGAAGACAAAGCCATCCTGTCATCCCGAGCAAAAGGGAGGAAATCAAAGGATCCCCCCGCCTTAAAAGAACTAATTTTCTCCTTGAATTATGAAAGCAATGGCTTAGGTAACAGCCTGTACTCTGTACCCAACTGCTTAATACCAAATAAATCCTTCCACGTGGCTCCCCGAGTCCTGGCAATTAGAGCTCATTATAGGCTCATAAGAGCTCTCATTTCAGGGATTACTTAATGGACGATGAAATTTTATCGGACAGAATCACTGAGAAATAAAATTGTGCAGCAGTGGGGGCCCCATGGGGGCATGCCAACGTCTTCCCAGGGTCCCCTCCTGCTCTGAGCTGATTTGAGATGCTGCAGTCCTAGAGAAGGTTCTAGCTGGGCAAAGCTGCCCGCTGCCTTGGAGGGTAGGCTTCCTTGCGTGTGCGTGTGCGTGTGTGTGCGTGTGGCGGGGGGCGGTGGTAAGCCATAGTGGGGCCTGCTTCTGAAGACGGGGCTGGAGTGGAGGAAAGGAGAGACAGACAGACAGAAGGGGAAACACTGAGAGATCCAAAGAGAACTAAAGAGAAGTCTAAGACTCTAATGTTGAACATGACCCCTGCCCCCAAATACTTGCTCTTATTGGGCTCAATCAATTAACCAAGTATCCTAATAGGCAAATGTCTCAGCCATGGTCTGCTTTTGGCCTCAGTGTGGCTCTAAACTGCTGTTCCCCTTGCAGCTCTAAGCAACCCCAAGAGCCTCTCACTTTTTTCAAAATTCCTTAATGCTCCAACCTCACGTTTCTGTAGCCAGGTATACATTTAGTTAGAGGCTCAAGCTTTGCAATTAGGATTCTCCAAGATAAAATGGTCCTCACAGAATGGTCCTCACAACTTCCAGCACATTAGCATAGTTCTTCCTGTGAACACACCCAGAACTGCTGGGAACATGGTGACCCACACCTTTAGCCCAAAATAGATCTTGGATAACTACTACCTAGTCCAGAGGAGGAAATAAATAACATATTTAATTTATAATATCTTATAAATATGTTATATAATTTTAAATATATACCTACATGAATATATTACTTGCAAGTGCATGGGAATATCATGTCATCTATTTGGACACTTTAGGCCTGTAAAAAACACCCTGTCATTGAGCTTCTCTTGATGGTGGAGCTCCCAGTCTTCTTTTGGGGGCTGGAATGATCCCAGGGGCTGCCTGGATTCTCCTGATTTGATTCAAGTGAGGTCAGGCTGAGCATCTGCGATGGCTGCACCGGCAAACCTTGTGGTACAAAAGTAGTTACAGCTGAGCTGCCCTGAGTTAAGCCCTGAGATTCCTTAATTGTTGTCACAAGATGTTGGATTAACACATTTCTGGAATAGCTGTCTGTTTACACTCTGGAGACCCACCGTCCACTAACCACTTTCTAATTGAATTCTAATCACATTCAAATAGCTCAATAACCAGCCTCAGCTGCAATTCATAAAACTTTAATTGCCATCCATAAATCCTGGGCTCCCCAGAGCGGGGCATCCCTACAACCCAATTACACTTCCCTAGCAGGCAAGAGAGACTGTCGCAGAGATGGAAAGAGAAAAGGAGGGACAGAAGGACAGAGGACAGAGAGACAGTCGTGCCTCCAGCTAAGAAGCTGGTGCTCCCCTAGCATTTGAGCTCTTGGTTCTCACAGGTGCAGGAAGTCCTGCCCCCACATTTCTTTGCACTACTGTGGACTCAAGGCCTGAAATTAGCTGTTTTGGGGAAAGGGTCAGATTTGTAGCTGTGGCTCACCCTCCCTACTCCAGACAGATTTTCTACAGGGGGGTGGGGGGCCGGGGAGAAGAGAAAGCTGTGGCCTTGCCTTCCCCAAAGATCAATAGCCCTGTCTGGCAGCCACCCTTTCAGGTAGCCACGGGTGTCCAAGTTTTCCACAGAACACTGTGCCACTCATAGATGTCCTTTTCCAAATACTCCTGCCATCTGAGGCTGGATTCCTTGCATGGCTCAATTTCCTTCTATCTTTTTGGGGTTTTAAATGAGTGCAGAGGGGACAGTGCTTCCCAGATAGTCTGCCAGCTGCCCAAGATCTGTAAATGCGAAGATGCAGGAGGGGGGACCCAGAGCAAAGAGGGCTAGGGCTTGGGTCCTCTCTCCAAAGTCCTTGGATGGAGTTGGTAAGTGGTGGAACCATTTGGAGAAAGAAAAGAGTGACGCTTCAACATCTCTCTTTGCCAAAGGGGGAGCTGCCCATTAGAAAGGGACACAAAGAAGGGTCATTGATCTGAGTAGCCCCAAGTGCAAAGGCATTTTAGAGCTTCTCGAAATCAGAATGAAAAGCCCGTCAGCTTCTTAGCTGGGAGGCCTCACTGTTACTCCCGGGATCCCTCCTGAACTACCCACATGAATGACCTTGGCCAAGGCCAAAAGCTGGGGGGCTCCGCGTGCGCCCGTATGTGTGCCCATGGCCTAAGCTGTGCTCCGGGACTGGGCTGCTGCCAGTCTTTGCCTGCACAATCCTGGTCCAAGCTGCAGGCCTCACACTTTACCGCGCCTTCGTCACGGTTGGCACAGAGGAGCAGGGAGCACTGGGCATCCCTATTAAAAAGGCTTCAAAGTCTCCACCTGGTGCGCCCTGCGGCCGGGAGCGGAGGAGTTGGGCTGGGGCCCAGGATGGAGAAGGGGTGGGATGGAGGATTCAGCTCTGATTTCTCGGGAAAGCGTGGAGAAAGAGGGGGAGGAGGCCGGCCTCCCCGCGAAATTAACAAAACCTACATTTTGCAAAGTCTCCCCTCATCCCCCTCCTCCGAGTTATTCCCTGCCGCGCGCCCGCCCCTCCTCGCCGCTTCTGTTGTGTGTGACTCGGGCAGCCTATCCCGAGGGTGGGGAGCAGCCGAGGAGCCTGAGCCGAGCGGTACTCAACTGCATCACGTGCCGGGGTGGGGGCTATAAAATCCCGGAGCCGGGGCGCTGGGCGGGGGACCTCAGGACCAGCCCTCTCCAGGGACCCCTTTGTTCGCAGCCCAGACGCCGACACCTCCGCATCCCCAAGGGCTTGACTGGCTGCACCGGCTCTGCGCCCCGGGCAGAGCTCCGAACAGGAGAGGGGAGGGGGCGCCACAGCCTGCCGGGCCCTCCGGCCACCCACCCCTCCAGACATGTCGCGATCCTTCTATGTCGACTCGCTCATCATCAAGGACTCTTCGCGACCCGCGCCCTCGCTGCCCGAACCGCACCCCGGGCCAGATTTCTTCATCCCGCTGGGCATGCCGTCCCCGTTGGTGATGTCCATGCCCGGGCCCGGCTGCGCGTCCCGCAAGAGCGGCGCGTTCTGCGTGTGCCCGCTCTGCGTCACTTCGCACCTGCCCTG